AAATGAATGGTTGCAAGTTGAGGACTTATAGTTGGCTTTTAGCTGCCAGGAAAAATACATTAGCTGCATTAATCAATTTTGAGTGTTTGGCAACTGGCCTGTATTTATGACAATGCCCCCGATCCATTTAACAACCATCTTGCTTAGCAATAAAAATTGGGGGCTTAATTGTGATCATAAGTCAAGGACTACCTGTATAAGGAGGAGACTTACAAACTATAGGCAGCTCTGAAGATCAGGTTCCCCACTTTTATTTAGCTGATTCTTTTCATGTATTCAAATTATGTTTATACTTTTACCTGTTATCTTATATATGCTTGACAAATTAATTAATTAATTAATTGCAGGCAAATGGACATAAAAGTTCCCATTCCAGACAGAATCCTCTTATGCTCAAATTCGGGCCTGATTAGATTGCATAGGATATATATATAAGATTTTAATTAATTAATTGGAATAGAGCTGGAAGGGACCTTGGAGGTCTTCTAGTCCAGCCCATGTTCCTGCAGGAGACCCTATACAATTTGAGACAAGTAGCTGCCAAGTCTCTTCTTAAAAATGTCCAGTGTTGGAGCACCCCCAACTTCTGAAGACAAGCTGTTCCACGGTTGATTGTCCTCACTGTTAGGAAGTTTCTCCTTAATTCCAGGTTGCTTCTCTCCTTGGTTAGTTTCCATCTGTTGTTTTTTGTCCTGCTTACAAGTGCTTTGGAAAATAAATTGACCCCCTCCTCTTTGTGGCAGCCTCTCAAATACTGCTATCATGTCACCCCTACACTTTCTTTTCTCCAGACTGACCATCCCCAGTTCCTACAACTGTTCTTCATATGTTTTTTTTTGTCTCTAGGCCTTTAATCACCTTAGTTGCTCTTCTTTAGATAATCTCCCCTCCGAACTTGCATTTTGTGACAGTGAATTCTACCACGTTGTGCTAACAGTTTGATTTCCCTCTGGCTTAATTTCACTTCCAAACAGCCATTGCTAAGCAGGCTCTGGTTCCCACAACCTCCTTCTGTGTGGGAAAAAGACACATTAAATTGCGAGCAGCATATGCAGTGCAGTGGATCTGTTTGTCTTTGCTCGGCACGTCCACTGTCTGCCTTTCCTTGGGCAGTGTGTCTTCCCCCGTGCATGTTTCAGCCAGGCGTCTAGTGGATAATGAGGCGAATGACAAGGAAGGTAGGGGGGCTGGGGCGGTTGTGGCTGTGTGTGTGTGTGTGAGAAACAGAGATTGTTTTTGTTGGCGATGCAGAGAGGGCCAGGATCTTTGATCGAGGTGGGGTAGAGATCGCTGAATCTGCAGGGATTTCATTTGGAAAGCACAAGTGTCAGCAAGCAGGTAAGAGATTGATGATTTTGGAGCCGCAGGAAGGAAACGTAGAGGTCATCCAGTCCAACCCCCCAAAGCATGATCTTCCTGACCATCTCTATGAGTGAGTAATCAGCTGTGATCTTGGACTTACAAAAGGAAACTCTAACCCAGTGTTTCTCAACCATGGCACTTTAACGTAGGTGGATTTGAACTCCCAGAATTCTGGCTGGGGAATTCTAGGAGTTAAAATTGCTAACGTTGAGAAACACTGCTTTGCCCCCCCCTCCTCAGCAAGATAATTGGAGGAACTTGCCACCACCGGATGTGATGACAGATTATTCTTTATAGGAATAATAGTTCAGGAAAGACTTCAATACGCAAGTATAAACTAGCTCTGAAATAAATTCTCTCTTTTTTTAAAATCCCAGTGGTTTCTTTTCTGTATTTCATTTATGAACCCCCAGAATTCTCATCTGCTAAGACCTATGGATGGCAAGATACTTGAGACAAGTGCCTTTAAAGCAATATATATATTGCTTTAATCTAGGGCTAGATTAATGCATTAATATACAGTGCCAATAAATCTTACATAGCCGCATCAACAGCATGTATTTTTAATCGTTCAATTTTCACCCGGTCATTGCCGCTAGGAACTCCTGATGGCATACAGATAGGATTTGCTATCCTCTTCTTCCCACACCGATGTCTGTAGTGATTCTGGGAGGTAGATCAATAGATTGATTGCCTCGAACACAGAATAACAGCTGGAAAGGACCTTGGAGGTCTTCTAGTCTAACCCCTATCCTATTCCAGACAAGTGGCTGTTCTGTTTCTTCTTAAAAATCTCCCATGTTGGAGCAACCATAATTTCTAAAGGCAAGCTGTTCCACTGATTGTTCTCACTAACAGGAAATTTCTCCTTCGTTCTAGGTTGAATCTCTCCTTAATTTCCATCCATCGCTTTTTGTTCTGCCTTCAGGTGCTTTGGAGAATAGCTTGATTCCCCCTCTCAATCCAATTGATTCTTATTATTACCTTAGTTGTTACATTTGCTGATCGCCTTTCAGATTCTCTTCGGGGAGTCAAAAAGCTCCATCATTTTTTTTTTTAAATTCATAAACAAGTTGCAAGTACCTGCTCAATTCCCCCTCCCCATCCTGGGTTTTTTTTGGTCACGCTGTAGGAATTTTAGCAACTGGCAGAGATAGAGAATATAACGGTATTAGGAAACTGAGCTTCTATATGTAATTAAAATGCTTTTAAGCCATGGGCCCTTGTAGAGAAAGCCAACGAAGAAGCCTTTACCGCTGCAGCAGCAGCTGGATTTTTATTTTGAAAAAAAAAAAATTGCATGTAAAAATCTAATTATGGTATGAAAGATACACTCATTCAAATCATTTCATTTCCCCAAACAAATGGGCGTTTCCTTTAAACAGATGCATTCTAAATTTAGACCCTGCTGAATCAAAACAGAGACAGGTAGAGAGAATTTAGGGGCATGAAACCACAGTAACAAAATTCTCCTCAGCATAAATAAAAATGCTGAGACCTAGAGGTGGAGTTCTCGCTTCGCAATCAGGAGGCTGTGAGTTCGATCCTAGGTGGAGGCAGATATTTCCTTCTCTGGGCACGATGAGAATATATCTGCTGAATGTAACTTCGCATTGGCGACAGGAAGGCCATCCGGCCTGTAAACACTCAGTTGCCCAGACTTCACCCAGTAAGGGATTATTGGGTCATTAAAAGAAGATGTTGATAAATAAAAATGGAATCCAAATGGGTCTTTTCCAAATCTGCTTAATTTCAAAGTCTACCGAGAACATATGGATGCTGTCTTCACATCGGGGCATGCCCGTCAGAAAAGAAGTTTTTGCTTTCTGCCTTAAAGTATTACAGGCTATCATTCGTTTAGTGACCTTTCAAAATTACAGTGGCAACTGAAAAAAGTGCGTTATGACCGTTTTTCACATGGCCACTGCAGCATCCCCATGGTCACGTGATCAAAATTCAAACGCTTGGCAACTGGTTCATATTTATGACGGCTGCAGTGTCCCGGGGGTCACGTGATCGCCTTTTGTGACATTCGGACAAACGAAGCCAGTGAGGAAGCCGGATTCACTTTAACAACACGATTGATTTAACATCTGCAGTGATTCGCTTAACCACCATGGCCAGAAAGGTCGTAAAATCGGGACAGCTCACTTGACAACGGCCTTGGAAATTCTGGTCCCAAATTTGGTTGTAGATTGAGGATTACTTGTACTCCAGTTTGGATTTTGGAATGGCGGAGTCAACATCTGGAGGCCCACAAATCATTTGTCTGAAATGATATAGGACAGGGATTTCCAACCTTGGCAACTTTTAAGATTTGTGGACTTCAACTCCCAGAATTCTCCAGCCAACAACTGAGAGTTGAAGTCCACAAATCTTAAAAGTTGGAGAACCTTGGTATAGGATTTCCTACCTGAGCAGGGGGTTGGACTAGAAGACCTCCAAGGTCCCGTCCAACTCTGTTCTTCTTTTATCTAACAGATAGGCCAAATTTTCCAAGCATGCGTTTGGTGAAGCACACTTCATCACTGCGCCTTACAAAGAGAAGGTCTTTCATACTTCTTCCTTCAAGAAAAGGTTACCATTTGAATATCAAAAGCATAAAATATCACCATTTCTCCCTGCAGGAAAACTATCCTCTTTAGAAAGAGGCACAGAAATGTGTGCTGATTTACCAGAGGTAGGCTGTTGTTGCACTGTTGCAGAGATGCATCAACCCTTGACTGACCGTCGAAAGGCCCAAGACCAGGCAATGGGGAAGCCCAAACAGAGGGCAATAACACAAGCTTGTAGCAGCCTCCTTAGCACATCAAATCATGGGGCTGGAAGGGACCTCAGAGGTCTTCTAGTCTGACCCGCTGCTCGAGGCAGGAGATTGCATCGTATTGGTCAAAATGGTTGTCCAGTCTATTTTTGAAAACCTCCAGGGATGGAGCAACCATAACTTTGGGAGGCAAGCTGCTCCACTGATTAATTGTTCTCATTGTCAGGAAATTTCTGGAGTGGTGCGATCAGTGGTGGGGATTGCCCCCGGTTCGCTCCGGTCCTATAGTAAACTGGGAGGCTCTGCCCACCAACCCCGATGTCATCAGAACGCTTCTGCGCATGCGTGGCCCCATTGCGAACCAGTAGTAAAGGTAAGTAGGAACCAGGAGCACCACTCAGGTGACCCTGAGGACACAGGTAAACCTCCAGGTGGCCTCAAAGACTCTCTAAAAGGATGCAAATGACCAGCTGTCTGCAAGGAATAGAAATCCTTCCATTCCCCACTATCCTGTCAGAGCTGAAGAAGCTTCTTGGATTAGAAGCGAAACGTCTTCAAAGAAAAAACAAGAAAGTCCAGTTGCCTCCAGGAAAAGCACCTTTTGGGACCCTCAAGTACTGGAAGACAGTTATCGTGTCACCTCTAATCCTTCCCTTTGATAGGCAGACATACTTAGCTCCTACCACCGTTCATGATATGATTTAGCCTCCAGAGCCCTCATCATCTTCATTGCTCTTCTTTGCAGTTTTTCTAAGTCTTGGCATCTTTTTTGTATCGTGACCAGCATTTTGCAGCTGAAGACTTTTTCTTAAGCTAAACATACCGCCCCACCTCCCTCGTAGCAAAACCTAGAAGGACGATCAAAAAGCTCAGCTTAAATTTCAAATATTTACTTTATTTGCAATTGCTAGAGGAAATTACCGGGGTGGATGGGGGAGGGCTGGCAAGTCCAGCCCCCTCAACAGAAACATAGTGCATAAATTTTTTTAAAAAAAACAGCGGGGAAGAATGCAGTCTTGGTGGATTCAGTAACCCAGGATTCCCGAGTGGGAAAACAAATATGAACCATTTTTTTTCCTTCCAGAAGAGACAGAAAGGCCAAACTGAGGCCCTTCTCCAGACAATTTAGGGAGAAACACGCTGTTTGCATCGTTAGACACATCTACCTTATTTTTCTCTAAAAACCACAGGTTTTGGGGGTGATGTGATTCCACCTCCTTCGTGGGGAAGGAATTCCTTGCCAGTCTGACTCCCTCCAGAAGCACAGAGAGAGGGACCAAATTTAAGGAATCAAGTACGTTTTCAGTCCCATTCAGAGAGACTGAAGAGAGACGGGAAACTGCTCCTTATGTCCGTCTGCCGGATACGAATGCAGAAGATCTTGCAGAATCAGTTGAAAAAGTAGACCGATCTCTTCACCTTCTCTAATTTGAAGTCACCTGATGGGAAGAAAAGGAGAGATTAGGGAAAAAAAAAAGAAAAGAAGGTATACTGGTTGGGAACATCTTCGCTTAATGACTGCTGCAAAAAAGCTCGTAGAGTTGGATGCAAAAACGATCTGCTTAATGGCTAGCATGACTTACGACTGTAATTCTGGGCTCAATTACAGTGGTAAGTCGAGAACAATTTGTGGTTTAATTAACAGCGGAAATGGACAATCCGCGGCCCATACAGAGAGCCCTCGACTTACAACACTTCATTTAGTGACTGTTTGAAGTTACAAGGGCACTGAAAAAGTGACTTAGGACCGTTTTTCACACTTACGACGGTTGCAACATCTCCATGGCCATACGATCAAAATTCGGATGCTTGGCAAGTGACTCATGATGGTTGCGTCCAGGGGTCGCACAATCCCTTTTTGCGACTTTCTGACAACTATGTTACTAGTTTAACAACTGCAGTGATTCACTTAACGACTGTGGCAAGAAAGGTCATAAAATGGGGCAAAGCTCACTTAACAACTATCTCACTTAGCAATGAAAATGTGAGGTTCAACTGTAATCAAAGAACTACCTGCAAGATAAAATGTTATTCAGCTTTCGAAAGCTCAGGGTTTTTAATAAAATTTCTTTGCCTGAAAAAGTGTTATTTCTTTCTGGGTTTTTTCTTTGCTTAATATAAAGATATCCTAGGATGAACACTAAGAGGATGCTCATTTAAACTTCAAGGCCTGGAGTGGGGAAAGCTACTTAAGAGTCTCAGCTTTGTCTCCAACAGGGACCAAAAACAATGGAAGTGACAGATCGTGGCTGTGAGCCTTGGATTCTCTCCGCAGGTGGGTACATGTCTGCCAATAGGGGTACCTCTGGGACCGCACAGGATGTACTTGGGAGGGCACCAACATTGTCTCTCAAATAACAAGGCTCCCATGGTTTTCTTTAATGCCACAGAGTGGGCTGGGGGAGATGGTCCTTGGAACACCCCGAGAAGCAGTTTCCCTGCCAAATGCAGGTTTGGCAGAGAACGCAAACAAGAGTGACGAGAGCAGCATGGCATGGCCAGTTGGTAAAGCTGGTAAATCATATGGGATCAGGCCCAAACCGAAGGAGTTTGATGCCCAGGTGAACCAAAATATTATGCTGAGATCAACTGCAATGCAAGTTAAGGGTTGTATAACTTTGGGTGCACCGTTTCTTGTTCAAAAGGAGAAATTTTGGGATAAGACTTTTATCCTGATTCCAGAGATGCTTAAAATAAATATGAAAATGGAGCCAGAATTATTTTTCTTAGGTTTGATGGGCAAAGAGCTTGAAAGGAAATTTGGACCTGTTACTATATATATGACACCCAGTTGGTCCTAGTGGTTAAGGTGATGGCCTAGAAACCAGGAGACGGTGAATTCTAGTCCTGTTTTAGGCATGAAACCCAGGTGGGTGAGATTGGGCCAATCATCACGAGACTGGGAGTTCTAGTGTCACCTTAGGCAAGAAAGTTAGCTGGGTAACTTTGAGCCAATCACCAGAAAACTGGGAGTTCTACTTTAGGCATGAAAACTGGCTGGGTGACTTTGGTCAAATCACCTTAGGCATGAAAGCTGGATAGATGAGGCTGGGCCAATCACCAGGAGACAGTGAGTTCTAGTCCCACCTTAAGCAAAAAAGTTAGCTGGGTGAGGTTGGGTAAATCACCAGGAGACAGTGAGTTCTAGTTCTACCTTAGGCTAAAAAGTTAACTGGGTAACTTTGGGCCAATCACCAGGAGACTGGGAGTTCTAGTCCCATCTTAGATATGAAAGCCGGCTTCCTGCATCTTCTTCAGTTCCTTTGACCTCCCATCTCTGATGTCACCCTTCCTAACCTATTTTCAGAAATCTGGATCTTAAAAAAAAAAAAAAAGATAAGATTGGACGTTGAAATAACACTGGCTCAGAATGAATTTTTAGAGATACGAGCATGGGTCTAACTCTTTTTGCAGGACAGTCTATTTAACTGGAGTTGTTTTCATTTCTCCCCTGTAGAACGATTCCTGGAGTGAGTTATATTCTTTTGCACTCTTCAAGTCCATGAGCCACCTGTAGTATTGCTGTAGAGCAGGGATGTCAAAATTCAAGGCCCGCAGGTTGGATCTGGCCCGCAGGGTGTTTAAATCTGGCCTGTGGGCCCATGGAGTCGGCGTGGAAATAGCAAAGGACTGGTCCGCAGTGCCTCTGGTAGCCAAAACTGGTCACGGGGGGCGCACGCATTTTTGGCCTGGACGGCCTCCTGCAACATTCTGGCAGTCAAAATGGTGTGGGTGAGGGCTGCTTGCGGCCTCTACGCACCCCATTTTGGCTGGCAGGGTGCTGCAGGAGGCAGTCCAGGGTGCTGCAGGAAGCGCCCATCCCATCTCCCCCCCCCCACCCCTGGCTGACAGAGACCTACAAAGCTGATCCAGCCCTCGAAGAAATCCAGTTTGACACCTGCTGTAGAGTGCAGTATTGTAAGCATCTGAATAGTAATGGACTATACTAAGTATAATTGTTACAGTGATTACTATACAATGTTTGGAAACTAACCAAGGAGAGAAGCAACCTGGAATTAAGGAAAACCTTCCTAATAATGAGAACAATTAAGCAGTGGAACTACCTGTCTCCAGAAGTTGTGGGTTCTCCATCACTGGAGGTTTTTAGGAAGAGATTGGACAGTCACTTGGCTGAAATGGTATAGGCTCTCCTGCTTGAGCAGAGGGCTCGACTAGAAGACCTCGGAGGCAGTGGTGAAATCCGAACCGGTTTGCTGGCCGCGCACGCACAGTATGCACCAAAAGGAGGCTTGGTAAGGTAAGTAGAACAGCGAGGGGGGGGTATCTGCTGTGCTGTGCAATTTAGCATTGCTAGAAAGCAGGATTTCCTGCTTTGTAGCAAAGCTAAACCCCATGGCACAGCTGATCGTCGGAAATAACCGGTAGCTTTTTTTTTACTACCGGTTTTCCCGAACCGGAGCAAACCAGTAGCATTTCACCCCTGCTCCGAGGTCCCTTCCAGCTCTATTCTATTCTAAAACAAATATCAGCCCAAAGGCTCTGGTTGTGGGTTCAGGCAACTGCTCCTAGAACAACGCAATCAGTTCAGTCTTAATGCATGGAAGAAGCCAATGGGCTTGGACCAAGGAATTTAGCAACTGGAGGTAAGCCAATGACTCATTGCATCACCAGGCTGAATCTTGCTATTGTACAGCTGGAGAGGAGCATCATTCGAATCACGGTTAACATTGAGTGTGTGTGTGTGTGTGTAGGCTGTAAGAGGGGGAGGCGTCGTGCATGTGAGCACAGCTGGCTGCGGAGTCTGTTCAGTGGTAAAGCTATTTTAGGCTTAAAATACAGTTTCTTATGCACGTCGCACCGCAAAACAATGAGAATAGAGTGTCGTCAATTTTCACCGATCTTGGTCATCACGGGACTTCAATCACCTGGTTTTTGACACCCGACCTGCTCCTAAAACTCCATCAACTCCCCAAATGAACATTTTGCAAAAGAAGTTAGCGAAGGTTCATCGTATGTGCTTGAAAGGACATTACCCCTGATATTCCCATATGGGGAGTCCTTCCCTTACAACCAGAATTAAGCCCAAAATTTCTGTTGTTAAGTGACATATCTGTTTAAGTGAATTTGGGCCCCATCTGACGACCTTTCTCCCTGCGGCCATTAAGTGAGTCACTGCAATTTTTAAGTTAGCGATATGGCTGTTAAGTGAATCTGGCTTCCCCATTGATTCGGCTCGTCAGAAGGTCACAAAAAGGGATCGTGTGACACCCCCCCCCCTGGACACTGCAACCGTCATAAATACGAGTCAGTTGACAAGCGTCTGAGTTTTGATCATGTGACTGTGAGGGTCAGAAGTGTGAAAATAAGTCATGTCACTTTTTCGGTGGCCTAACTTTGAACAGTCGCTAAACGAACTGTCGTATGTCGAGGACTACCTGTACAAATCTTCCACTTTTTTTTTTACAGCCTGAGAAGTTAGAGCGGTTCCTTTCTAAGTCTCTTTCTCTGCCCATTATACACTGCAGATTCTGCCTTCTCTTCTCGGAATGTTCTTTAGGGCAGGGGTCTCCAAACTTGGCAACTTTAAAGACTTGTGGACTTCAACTCCCAGAAGATTCACTTAACAGCGGTCTGATTCACTTAACAACAGCCTCGCTTAGCAGTGGAAATTCTGGTCCCAGTTGTGATCGTAAACTGAGGACTACCTGGATCAAATTGCCATGAAAATGTTGAACCATTGCTGAATAAGGTTTCAGGGTTGAACTCTGGGGTCTTTGCTCTGAGCTTGGTAACATCATCAGTCTTAGCACTGATGATGTTACCTAGTTGGGTAATGAAATGTCTGCAAGGAAACAACCAAGCTCAGAGAGCACCAAGGATCCCGCAGTTCAACCCTGAGCTACAAATATTGCCTTCGACTGGTAAAGTTTTCCTCTTTAAAACGATTAAGCAGGGACATCCATCAAGGATTTGCACAGCCTTCCCTTAGAATCCCCTGAATACCTGGTCTCACAAATCAAGGGGGCTTTTGAGACTTACCTTTCTTGGGAATTTTAGGCAGTAAATTTTTCAGCTCCTGGATCCTGGCCTGGACAGCTTGCTGACTCTTCTTCTTTATATCATTTTCAGATATTCTTTGGGAGACAAAGGAACAAGTCAACCAAAGAGGAACTCAGTGCCACTTTCCCTCAACCTCATGGATAAATACCGTATTTTTCGGAGTATAAGACGCACCTTAGTTTTTGGGGAGGAAAGTAAGAAAAAAGCTGATTGGCGGGTGATTGGCCTCCCGGAATACCCCCCATCAGCTGTTCCCAGAAGTGAATTTTAGCAATGGGTTCCTTGGTTGTGAGCTGTGTGCCTTGCTTTTTTTTCAGCCTCTGAAACTTCTGAAACTCTGTTTCAGAAAAAAACTTTTTTTTCTGCTTCTGAAAGTCTCCAAAACAGAGCTTCAGAAAAAAAAGCCTCTGAAATGAAGTTTCAGAGGCTTATTTTCTAAAGCTCTGTTTCGGAGGCTTTTTTTCTGAAGCTTCATTTCTGAGGCTTTTTTCAGCCTCTAAAACCTCCCTTTGAGAAGCCGGGCGGGGCTACATTCGGAGTATAAGACGCACCCAGATTTTCACCCTCTTTTTGGGGGGAAAAGGTGCGTCTTATACTCCAAAAAATACGGTAATCGGTTCCAATTGAACCTAGAAACAGGCAGTTTCAGCAAAAACACTTTCAGCAAAAACTTCATCAAAGACAGTGGCTTGACCGCAGGACAGTATAACAGCCGTAAATGCGGTGGGGTTGGCAAGCACTCAAAATGTATTCACATGACTGCAAGGGTGAGGTGTGAAGTCCAGTTGTCAGACCCTCATAATTATGTCGTAACTCCCTTTTTATAGGTAAGTCGCAACTTCGAACGGTCACTAAGTGACCGGTCGTAAGTCAAGAACTACCCCTAAATGCTTATAAAAACTGCAGAGGGCAAGCATCATCTTAAAATCTCCTCTTCTTTTACAGGCAAAATGACACTAAAACTCTAAAAGCAATATGGAATAAGCTTTCCTGTTTCCAGTAAGATTTACTCTGGAGCAAACTGGAGTGAGATTATACAGGAAGCCCTTGATTTACAACAGTCTGTTTAGCGACCATTCGAAGTTACAACAGCGCTGAAAGAAGTGACTCTATGACCATTTTTCACACTTATGACCGTTGCAGCAAACTGTTCTGACCCAGTTCCCTGAAGACGACAATCCCTCTGAGGTTAAATCAATGATTCCTTTATTAGGGGTGCCAGCAGCCCCGGCAAAAAGTTTCTCTCTCACCACAGGCTAACAAGTCTGTCCGGCAGGGAGATGAATAGTTGTCTGCCACATCTATTCATCTCCACCCCCTGCCTTTTATCCCCAGAGCTAGGGTGGGGCCTTGCTAGCAGCAGTGGCTCTTCCATCCCGAGGACCGGCCCATAGATTTCCACTGCTCTCCTCTCCTCTGACTTTTGCACATCCAGGCGTCAGGCACTGGACTCAGCTGTTCCTCCTCTTCCTCATCAGCCACCTCCAGACCTGGGACCTGTTGACTCTCCATCTGAGGGCTGACGGACAGCCCAGGCTCCACCACTTTCTCTCTCTCTCTTTGACAGCTCCATTCCCTCTTCCCCCTCGGAGCTCTCAGGTTGCCTTGATGCTGACCCTGACTTCCATGCTTCCTCCTCTGATTCGGCTGCTGGAGGGGCCGTGGCCGACAGGCCAGAACACGTCCTGATGATCACGTGATTTACTTTCGGCCGTTGGACAACTGAACTCACATTTATGACGGTTGCGGTGTCCCGGGGTCACATGTTCCCCTTTTGTAACCTTCTAAACGAGCGAAGTCAAATGGCACGTAAAGAGAACATAAACACCCCAAAAGGTCCAGAGAACTTACGTGGTTTTGGGACAGTATTTCTGCAACATGAATTTCGAAAGGTCTTCCAGGATGGGCTGGCTGTGTAGTGCTACAAATTGTTCGCGGCATATCTAGGATTCAGAGAACAAATCACTTGAACATCCTTCCTGAAACATGCAGAAAAACCCCACAGAGGACAGGCAGTCCTCCAGTTCATTTAATGACCGTTCCAAGTTAAAACGGCCCTGAAAAAAGTAACTTGCAACCGGTCCTTGCACTTACGGCCATTGGAGCAGCCCCATGACCATGTGATCCAAATTTGGGCACTTGGCAGCCTTCAATTATTTAGAATGGTTGCAACATCCTTTATAATGAACCACTTTGTAATACCCTAGTATTAGGTGGCACGCGTAGCCATATCAGTGGGCACGTGAGCTCAGCTCTGCCAGCTGATTTTTCAGGTCTTCTGGGCCCACCAGAAGTAGGGAAACAGGCTGTTTCCTGCCTCTGGAGGGCCTGGGGAGGGGGAGGAAGGCCCGTTTTTCTTTCTCACCTGTCTCCAGGGCCTCTCTAGGAGTCTTTGGGGAGGGGGAAAACAGCCTTCCCCACCCCCCCCAGAGGTCCAATGAAGGCCGAAAATGGCTCGTTTTCTTCCTCCGTTGGACCTCCGGGGGGTGGGGAAGGCTGTTTTCGCCCTCCCCAAAGACTCCTAGAGAGGCCCTGGAGACAGGTGAGAAAGAAAAACGGGCCTACCGGGCCATCGCATGCCAGGAGTGGGGGGAGAGGGGGGCTTGCGCACGCATGCGCGGGGGTGGTGGTGCATAGAATTATGGGTGTGGGCACACCCGTGCGCAGCCCCCTCCCCCTCCTCCTGGCACGCGATGGCAAAAAAGTTTGCCATCACTACCCTAGTATGACCACACCTGGAATACAGGTAATCCTTGGGTTATGAGCATTCCCTTAGCGAACGTTCAAAGTTATGTGATAAGTGCCCCCTAGCGCCATGATGGTGAACCTGTGGTATGCAGCACCATCTCTGTGGGCAGGCAAGCCGATGCCCATATCAGTTCCACTGCGCATGCCCATGTGCCTCCCACTGGCCAGCTGATTTTCAGGTCTCTGCTGGGAGATGCATGCGCATGCACGGGGGGGGGGGGGGTCGTGCACCCATGCGTAGGGGGTGGAGGGGTGCAGGTCCCCCCCATTTTTGGTTCCAGAAGGCTTCAGGGAGGCCTGCTAGCATCAAAATGGGGGTCGCACGTGAGTGCATGGGGGACCGCGGGGGGAGGTTGTTGTGCACGCCTGCACGAAGGACGGGGCCTGCGGGGGGGAGGCATTGCATTATGCGAGTCGGCACACACGCACGCTTTCGGCACCCAAGGAAAAAAAGGTTTGCCATCACTGCCCTAGCGTTTGGGAACAAGGCCCAAAACTACAAATCTTGCAGCACCACAGCAGTTGTTCACTCTTATGAACAACCGCAGAGTCTCTGCAACATTCGTCCTGCACGTTGCTGGCTGAAAGGCAGCTTGCGAGGGGCGAACCTGCCCCTCGAATCTGCCCCTCGCCATGCCAGGCGAGGCCCCTTAGGCATCCAGAGGCCTCGCCTGGCATGTTGCTGGCTGAAATGGAGCTTCTGAGGGGGCGGATGTGTGGTCGTAATTCGAGGACTACCTACTTATAGCTTCACGGTATGCTAACGCTCTCTACAAGAATCTCAACGACTAACAGTCAAAGCAAATTGGCGGTAGATAAGAATTCACAGTGGGCTGGACTTAGAACTCTTTGTGGGTGCAAAGGGACTCGAGACTGATGACGTGTTTGACCCCCCCTCCCTCGGGCTCAGCCTGATCATCTCCTACAGGCAATCTGATATTATGGTTTAAGGCTCCAAGCTAGAAACCGGTGATTCTGAGTTCTAGTCCTGCCTTGGTCACGAAGCCAATTGGGAGACTTTCGGCCATTCTCCCTAGGAAGGAGGAGGCGAGAGAAAATGCACTTTTAAAAACCTTGCCAATAAAAGTGCAGGGGCTTGTCCAGGCAGTCCTCAGGAATCAAAACTGACTCAATGACAGACGCAAACAACCAGAATCACTTGTGAACAGTCTGAAGCAGAAGCTTCATTGTTCATTGTCACCCACTGTGTGTTACAAGAATCTCGCCAGATTGACTGCATTCCCTTGGGAACGGTTAGATCCGGCTTCAAGGTCCCTGGGCTGCTTTCCGCAATGCAAGGACTTGTGAGAACAGGCCGAAGGTCCCGTACCTAAAGATGAAACAGGCGCATATCTTGGCTCTGCATGGCCTTGCATGGGGGGCACAGAAGACCACGCAACCATAGGGCTGGCTAGCCCCATGAGAGCCAGTCCCTGCTTGCAATTACCAAATTAAATGGCCACTTTGGGATTACCTTTGGAAGTTTATATTGTCATTATTCTATAATTTTATTTTTTTAAATCCTAATTTAATCCTAATTTAATGTTAATTTTATACATTCTTTTATTTATCGATCATATGCTTTTAATTGTGGGCCAAATTAATTTAATTGGATTTTAATACTGTTTTTAAATTTTGCATTTCCTGTGTTTTATCTGTTGGCTGTTCACCGCCCCGAGTCCTTCGGGAGAAGAGCGGTATATAAATATAAACAATAAAATTAAATTAATTAAATAAATAAGTGTTACATTGTACACTGCTCAGAACTACTCTTTGAGGGAGGTGGGCTGTTTAGAAATATGGGAAAATAAATAAATACATACATACATACATACATACATACATACATACATACATACGTACAGTGGTACCTCAGTACTCATCCTTAATTGATTCCAGGAGGTTCAATGAGTAGCAAAAACAATGAGTACCAAAAAATTTTTCCCATAAGGAATAATGTAGTGAATCACAAGTCAGCCGACACTGACAAGGTCTAGCTCAGGATTGTCAGACTCAAGGCTTGTGGGCCAGATCCAGCCTGCGGTGCCGCCCTGGAAACAACGAAGGACTGACCCGCGGTGCTTCTGCCAGCGAAAATGGCCGTCAGGAGGGCTGCTCCGTTTTTGGCTGTGACGGCCTCCTGCAGCCCTGTGCCAGCAAAAATGGAGCTTGGGGCGGCCACGTGCAACTCGCCTGGGCTCCATTTTCGGCTGTGACAGTCTCCTGCAGCCCTCTGCCAATGAAAACGGAGCTCGAGGAGGCCGCATGCGGCCCCACCAGGCTCCGTTTTCTCTGGCAGAGAGCTGCAGAAGGCCATCATGGCTGAAAACGGAACCTTGAGTGATGTCGAGCTGGCCATGCCCCTCAGTTCCCTGAGGTCAAACTCATCCCTGATGTGGCCCTCAATCAAATCGAGTTTGACACCCCTGGTCTAGCTGATGTGTTGAGTACCAAACGATGAGTACCGGAACAAAATGTCCGCATCAAAATGCGTTGAGTACCAAATTTGTTGAGTTCCAAAGCAGTTGAGTACCAAGGTACCATTGTAAATAAGCAAGCATGCTGGCTGGGGAATTCTAGGAATTGGAAGTCCACCATCTTGGAGTCGCCAACTCTGAAAAACAACACCTCAGACCAAGGCAGGATACAGTGACAGGTGTTTGGGTGGCATTCTTCTTACCTTATTCATTAAGTCCACCGTGGCTGCATGTGTCCAGAAACAGTCATGCACAGAGACAAAAGTTAGCCCGGCCCTGAAAAAAAAAAGAGAAGCAGATGAGTTTCACCCTATAAGGCAAAATTATACATTTAGAGAACAATTTTTAAGGGAGAAATATTTGATATAAAGAGAGTATCCAGAAGCAATGTCAGTGTTTATCAATAATTTGATGTAGTTACCAGTCAGGTACAATGGAGTGAGATCAGTGATCAAATCCAATTTTTTTTTTTTACTACCAGTTCTGTGGGTGTGGCTTGGTGGGCGTGGCTTGGTGGGAGTGACAGGGGAAGGATACTGCAAAACCTCCATTCCCACCCCACTCTGGGGCCAGCCAGAGGTGGTATTTGCCAGTTCTCCGAACTAGTCAGAATTTCCGCTACTGGTTCTCTGAACTGCTCAAAATTTCCGCTACTGGTTCTCCAGAACCTGTCAAAACCTGCTGGATTTCACCCCTGGGTGAGATTTAGAACTTAGTTTCGACGAATTGTTTTTAGTATCTAGTAAATGTTTTCTTGTCCTTTTTCTTTCTTTTCATAAGATCGGTGGAATTTATTTTACATAACGATAAACATGGTGGCATCAATATGAATGTCCCTGTTGATGGTGGTGTAGTGATTTTCAATTGTTTCTCCAGGTGATAGGATGATTTTCATTTGATATAGTCTATTATCTGATCAATGAAATAATGGACTCTAAATTTTATGAGACCTACAAAGTGCCTATTGATATTTAATTTTCCAGCAATTACAGGTTGTCCTCAATTTACCACAGTTCGTTTAGCGACCGTTCAAAGTTACGACGGCACTGAACAAAGTAACTTACGACCGTTTTTCACACTTATGACCGGTGCGGCATCCCCACGGTCACATGATTTACATTCAGATGGTTGACAACTGACCCGCATTTATGACGGTTGCAGTGTCCTGAGGTCGTGTGATCCCCTTTTGCGACCTTCTGACAAGCAAAGTCAACAGGGAAGCCAGATTCACTTAATAACCGAGTTATTAACTTATCAACTGCACTGGTTTCACTTAACAATTCTGGTAAGAAAGGTCATAAAATGAGACAAGACTCACTTAACCAATGTTTCACTTAACAACAGAAATTTTGGGCTCAATTGTGGTCATAGTTGAGGAACCTAGGTTTTATGAGACCTATAAAGTGCTTATTGATATTTTATTTTCCAGCTAATACGGTTACTGGGATGACTTATCATCATTCATTTAGCGACCATTTGAAGTTACAACGGCACTGAAAAAAGTGAGCTACAAGTGAACCACACTTATCACCCTCAGAGTCACAAGATCAAAATTCGGTTGCTCGGCAACCAGCATGCATTTATGATGGTTACATCGTCCCGGAGTCATGTGATCATCATTTGCTACCTTAAGCAAAGTAAATGGAGGAAGCTGGATTCATTTAACAACCGCCTGATTCTCGTAACAACTGCAGTGATTCTCTTACTGACCATGGAAAAAAGGTCATCAAAACTGAGTGCAAATCAGTTTACAACTGTCTGGGAAATTCTGATCCCAACAGTGTTTATTTATTTTATTTATTTATTTTATTTTATTGGTTCGATTTATATGCCGCCCTTTTCCGGAGACTCAGGGCAGCTTACAATGCGTTATTTATTTATTTATTTATAAATTTATTGGTTCGATTTATATGCCGCCTTTCTCCGGAGACTCAGGGCGGCTTACAATGCGTTAAGCAATAGCCTTCATATTTTTGTATATACCTGCTTAGTAGGGCTTTCCCCCCTCCCCCCCAAGCGGTGTTCTTTTTTTATACGAAGTCAGCTTATTGCCCCCACAATCCGGGTCCTCATTTTACCTACCTCGAAAGGATGGAAGGCTGAGTCAACCTTGAGCTTGGTGAGATTTGAACTTGCAGTAATTGCAGGCAGCTGGTGCTACTTAACAGCGCTTTAGTCTGCTGCGCCACCAAGGCTCTTCATAAGGTGTTCATAGGTCGAGGGCTACCCGTATGTCTTTTCTCATTATTTTTTTTACATTTTATGCAGTTATTTCTTTTTTAAATGTTTCAAAATAAGCCGAAAGCAAAAACAAGCAGATGAGTTGGCAACTGAACTTCCCTGAACAAGCTATTGCTAGCTGCAGACTGACACGCTTGATAAGCGTGAAAATTCATTATTGAAATGAATTGCTACTGAACGCCCTTTTATCAGCTTTTTCAGCCAAATTGTTTTGCCGAAGGCCGGTCACGGATCTTGCATTCTTTTCTATGTTTATATGCAATGCCTATTTAGGCTGCTGTTTTGCTCGGATGGTATTTACCCGTGATGGCAAACCTATGGCACGTCTGCCAGAGGTGGCACGCAGCGCCCTCTCTGTGGGCAGGCGAGCCATCCCCCCAACTCAGTTCTGCCGTGAATGCGCGCGCGCCTCCCTCCAGCCAGCTGGTCTTAAGGTCTCTACCATACATGCGTGGAGTGCACGTGGGGGGGGCCACGTCCACATGCATGGGGCGCACATGGAAGGGCCGCCCGTGCATGCACGGGGGGGTGGGGAGCATGCGCGGGAGCTGCCCGCGCCTTGCATTTCTGGGGTTTGGGTGCACTTTGGGCACTTGGTCCGGAAAAGGTTAGCCATCACTGGTATATACTAAGGGTGTCAAACTGGATTTCTTCAAGGGCCGGATCAGCATTGTAGTTCTCCTCGTTGGCCTTCACACGGCCCATTTTTGGCCAGCAGAGTGCTTCTGGAGGCCGGGGAGGCCAAAAACGGGCTGTGTGGGGCCTCGTGAGGCCTCCGCACGGCCTTTTGGACTGCAGAGTGCTTCTGGAGGCTGGGGAGGCCAAAAACGGGCTGTGTGGGGCCTCGTGGGGCCTCTGCATGGCCCTTTTTGGACAGCAGAGTGCTGCTGGAGGCCAAAAACAGGGCACACGGGGGCCAGAAGAGGCACCGCAGGCCGGTCCTTTGATATTTCAAGGCCGGCCCCGCGGGCCAGATTTAAGTACCCCACAGGTTGGATCTGGCCCACAGGCCATGAGTTTGACACCCCTGGTATATACTGTAAAGGATTGCTCTTTTTTTTTCCCCTTCAAAATCCTGCTCTTAATTCTTCTTTTAGGAGGGGGAAAAATATGGATGGTAAATGTGAAAGGAAATGACAGCTCATGTTCCAGAAGTGCCAGAACACACAGGTAGCCGTCGATTTACGACCACAATTGAGCCCAGAATTTATGTTGCTAAGTGAGAAATATGTTAATTGAGCTTTGTCCCATTTTACGGCTTTTCTTGCCACGGTTGTTAAGTGGATCACTGCAGATGTTAAGTCAGTAACACGGTTGTTAAGTGAATCTGGTTTCCCCGTTGACTTTGCTTGTCAGCAGGTTGCAAAAGGGGTGTGTGTGTCACATGACCCCAGGACACTGCAAACCGTCATAAAGGTGAGTCAGTTGTTAAGCATCCGAATGTGACTGTGGGGAAGCTGCAACGGTCCTAAGTGTGAAAAATGGTCATAAGTCACTTTTTTTGGTGCTCGTATAAATTCGAATGGTCATTAAACGAACTGTTGTAAGTCGAGGACTACCTGTAACTGGAAGCAGAATTGCTGTGGGCAAGCCTCAACTTCGCTTACTGACTGCGAGTAAAAAGAGGCAAGGCAAGGGGGAAATTTGAACAGTAGTTAAGATAATAAGAGAAGGAATTGGGCCCAGCCAATGAAACAATACAGAATTTGAATGTACTCAGAGGTCATCTAGTCCACCCCACAACGTTCAGTGCAGAATTTACAGGCCGTCCTCAATTTACAACCATTCATTTAGTGACCGTTTGAAGTTACAACAGCACTGAAAAAAGTGACGTGTGACTAGTTTCCGCATTTATGACCATTACAACATCCCCATGGTCACATAATCAAAACTCATACGCTGGATATTGACCATGTCTGGGGGGTGTGGCTGTATATCGAAACCATAAGTCTCAGTTTTGGAGTTCATGGGAACTTCAAATGGTTGCTAAGAGACTGGTCGTAAGTCAAGGACTACCTGTATATATAAATACAGGTAGTCCTCGACTTACAACAATTCGTTTACTGACCATTTCCAGGGACAACGGCACTGAAAAATGTGACTTATGACAGTTTTTCTCACATGACGTCACCAAAATTCACATGGCTCATAGTTACGACGGTTGCAGAGTCCTGGGCTCACGTGATCCCCTTTTGTGACCTTCTGACAAGCAAAGTCAACAAGAAAGCCAGATTGACTTAACCACCGGGTTACTAACTTAACCACTGCAGCGGTTCCCTTAACCGCTGTGGCACGAAAGGTCATAAACGGGGCGAAGCTCTCTTAACAAATGTCTCACTGAGAAATTTTGGGCTCAATTGTGGTCGTAAATAGAGGACTACCTGTACTATGCAGGGCAATTTTTTTTAAAATGGACATACAGGGTACACCTCCCCCCCTCCCCCATTGTTAGGAAATTGTTATTGCCCAACTGGTTGGTCAGGAAATATATAAACCAACATTGTGTGTTTGTAGCTAAAAGTATTATGTAGCTTTAAAAACTGTGTTGCATCGTCCTGCATCCTGATTGGCTGAGCTCTGTAGCCAATGTACTTAAGGAGTAACTCTTTTTGATCTCTCTGCATGATCATTGCTTTGATCATGGCTATTTATTGCTTTTCTACTATTTATTGACTGTTTTTATATTGTACTGTGTTCCTGAATGAAACTAAAGAAGATCTGTTTTATTGTATTTTTCTACAACTGGTAAGAAGACTTTATACTGGAAAATATCCCTGGACTGATTTTTATCTCACTTTATATGTGTATGACTTGGAATGTTTTTGGACTATGATTTTTGCTTTTCCCTAAAAGTAAAATATTATCAAAACCCAGTTTGTTTGTGAACTGTTATTATCCACAATCATTCTCAGTCGCTTTCGTGCGGAAACTCAAAGGGTACTCTGCTCAATAACCCACAACATCGGTTGTGAGACAAGAATATCCTTATCACCCATTCTCGGCCTTCTTACTTTTGACAATGCAGAGCCGTCAACATCATGTGGCTGGAATCCAGAGAATGGATGAAGTTGGGCGGGAAGGCGTTTTTCTGTTTTCTTGTGTTTGGCTTCCTGTAGGTAAGGCAGAGGAGAGCAGCTTTTGAATTCCAGACCCACCTTACTCACCCTAATCGAGACCCATCTGTAGTAGCTACCAACATTTCAATCAAATCAATCCCGTTAATCTAGCCCAGAGCTCTCCCAACTTGGCCACTTGAAGACTTCTGGACCTCAACTCCCAGAATTCCATGCTGGCTGGGGAATTCTGGGAATTGAACTCTCTCTTAAAGTAGCCAAGATTGAGAAACATTGTACGCAGGCTTTATCATGGAGAACCCAAAGAATTTGATGTATGATCGCTCGCCACAGTCACTGGTTTGAGATGGGTGGCTTGACAAATCCAATCAATCAGTCAATCAATCAATCAATCAATCAATATTGCTGGAGAAAATAAGGTTAACTCTTCAGATGCCCCATCTGATACCAGGTAGGGAACACATAAGCTGAATTGATTTCACATATAAAGTTAAACCTTTGACAAGAGATGGACAGTTATATAAATAAATAACAGGAAAACAGTTAATAAATAAATGTTTTGGATTTGCAAACAATTCTAACAAACAAATATTTTGGATTTGCAAACTAATAAGTAAATCAATATATGTTTTGGGTTTGTAAACAAATCTAATAAACAAACAAAACTCCCTTTTTACGACCCTGTAATCTCATTATTCAGAATGGAGTTGGGGCGACTGAATGGAGGTGAGCGTTTACTGCCCGGATGCCCTTCCTGACGACTATGCGGGGTTCGCAGCAGATATTTTCATTTTGCACTCTGATAGAGAAACATCTGCCCCTTGCCTGGAATTGAACTCTCCACCTTCTGAGCGGGAGGTGAGCATTTTCACCACTATGCCACCACCACACCGCTCTAAATCTAATAAACAAATAAAATGTATATTTCCTATTTCAAAATCAGGGTTTGAATAATTTGAAAAAAAGAAATAACCTCACAACTCATTAAGCATATCTGATCAATGGCATTTTCTTTTTAAATCGGAGGAGGGTGCAAATAACCACAGAGGCTCCTCCTAGACTGTGCCAACTGGAATTAAAGACAACTGGATCTTAATAGTATAACAGAATAATAAAGTTGGAAGAGACCATAGAGGTCTTCTAATCCAACCCCCTGCTTAGGCAGGAAACCCTACACCACTTCAGACAAATGGTTGTCCAATCTCTTCTTAAAAACTTCCAGTATTGGAGCATTTACAACTTCTGGAGGCAAGTTGTTCCACTGATTAATTGTTCTAACTGTCAGAAAATTCCTTTTTAGTTCTAGGTTGGTTCTCTCCTCAATTAGTTTCCATCCGTTGCTTCTTGTCCTGCCACTCAGATTTCCCACTCTGGACTTTAAAGAAAAGTGTTTACTTCAGAGAGATACTCACTGGCCCACGTTGTAGTTCGATTTTAAATGGAGGCTCTGCAAGTCACCCTTTACCTGGATGGGAAGAGAGAAAAAAAAGCAATTTTGATTAAAAGAAGTGTTCCTGGAAGTCAACACAGAGAAGAGCACAAGGATCAAGAGTGATTTTCAGAGTATTTATCTCTAATTACCCAATCAGAGTACAATTTGTGCTAACTAACGGGATGCACCCATACACAGTTAGATCTTGATTTACCGGTACTACCATAACTGAGTGTAAAATTTTGGTCGTGTGATGGTTGTTAAGCAGGTCACCATGTGAAAGCGCTCAATTTTATGACCTGTTTTGTGGTGGTTGAGCATTGTTAAGGGACTGCCGTGGTCACTAAGTGAATCCATTATTTACTATGGGGTGTTTTTTGCTGGAAATTGGAAGTAAATGTTGGTTTCTAGGCTGCATTAACACAGGGATAGAATCAAGGCCACATGAAGTGCTAGTACCACTTTACAATGCCTTGATAAAACCAGACTTGGAATCCTGCATCCAGATTTGGCCACCTCAATATAAAAAAGATGTTGACTCTAGAAAAAGTACAGAGAAGAGCAACAAAGATGTTTATGGGACTGGAGGCTAAAACATACGAAGAACAGTTACAGGAATTGGGTTATGTCTAGTTTAAGGAAAAGAAGGACTGGTGGGACATGATAGCAGTCTTCCAATATTTGAGGGGCTGCCACAAAGAAGAGGGAGTCAAGCTATTCTCCAAAGCCCCTGAGGGCAGGACAAGAAGCAACGGATGGAAACTAACCAAGGAGAGAAGCAACCTAGAACTAAGAAGAAATTTTCTGACAGAACAATTAATCTGTGGAACAACTTGCCTGCAGAAGTTGTGACTGCTCCAACACTGGAAGTTTTTAAGAAGATGTTGGACAACCATTTGTCTGAAATGGTGTAGGATTTCCTATCTAAGCAGGGGGTTGGACTAGAAGACCTCCAAGGTCCCTTCCCACTCTGTTATTCTGTTATAAATAGGAAGGATATAAGGAGGCTATAAATCCTTTCATTCCCTAAAACTCAGTTAGAACTGAAAAAGCTTCCTGGGTGAGAAGTGAAATGTTTTCAAAGAATGAAGAAAAAAAATCCAGTTATCTTTTGGCAAAAGTGCCTTTGGGACATGTCTGCCAACACATTTCAAAACCGGTCTCAAGTGCAAAAACAGTTTGCTTCGCGTCTGAAACAACTGAAGCAGAGCTGCCTCTTTCCTAAAGTTTTTGAAACACTCCATTTTGAGTATTTAAAAAAAAAAAAAAAAACACTTCCAAAATGATAACAACTGACCTATCTTCTTCTCAAAACAACAGTTTCAAACTGGAAGCAGCTTGGCACAAAACAAAAGCATTGGGACCTCCAAAAGGGGTGTGTTTTGAAAGCTTTTTGCTCCCAAAATTTTTCTCCTGTATGTCCTGTGCGATGATGCCTTGACAACAGGAAAACATCATTCAGTCTTGGTTGGTATCCTCTGAGCTTGGTTGGTTTTTTTTGGAGACATCTCTGTCACTGCGTTTTTGTATTTACCAGCTGAGCTCATTATTTCTGGACTGTCAGATTTTCCGTAGCTTGCCAAAATTTCTTATCAGTAACTGATACTACGTATATCCGCATTCCTTTCTTTCTACTTCACACTTTTCTTTGTTCTCTTGCCAGAGAAGTCCGGCTGGGTAGGAACTTTGCAAAAATGTAACAATTTAATTATTTTAGATAGTTAAGATGTTTTATTTTCTTTACAATAAATATGAGTTTAATTAGAAGATGTATTCCGGTTTTATTTATCAAAAGTATACACAAGGAAAGTGCCACGATCCAGGTAATTACCACGATCCAGGTAATTACCACAGGAAGGTAACGGGGCTAATTGCCTCTGACAGTCTCATTACCCATCTAGGTAACATCATCAGTGCCAGAAAGGAGAGGGGTTTGCTCTCTCGCTCTCTCTGACACACACGTATAATTTAAGGATAGGTCAGGGGTCTGCAACCTTAAACACTCAAAGAGCCATCTGGACCCATTTTCCACAAAAAAGAAAACACCGGGAGCCACAAAACCCTTCCTGTGCCTGACTATTTCTTGAGCGACCACAAAACTAGCATATGTAGTCGAATTAAACGTTCTGTTTTCTTCTGAAACTTTTCTTTTCTTGGATTTATCCATGGTTGGTCTATCCGGAGTTGAAAAGCTCAATAAATTGCGTGCTGGCAGGTGTTGCACATTGGCGGTTGGGACGCCTATTTTGAGTGACAGGGAGCCGTAGCAGAGTGATGAAAGAGCCACATGCGGCTCCAGAGCCACAGGTTGCTGACCTCTGGGATAGATCATTACAAAGTCAATTCCTCTGCAATCTTAAGGACGTGATATAAAAGAGAATGGGAGGAAGAAGGATGGGAGAGGGAGGGGGGAAAAAAAAAAGCAAACTCGGGTGTCGATTCCTCAAAGCGTTGTGTAGCTGCAGCTCCTCTGACCAGCAGGTGGAGCTGGCTGCCCCCTGCTCCTCTGAGAGAGGCCAGAGACAGCCAAGCTGGCTCAGGAATTCTGGGAGTTGAAGTCCACAGGTTGTAAAAGAGCCATATTTGCCCAACCCTGCTTCAGGGCAACTGAGGCAAACACAGTGTAAATCCCAGCATGGAATTCTGGGAGTTGAAGTCCACCCATCTTAAGGGGGCCAAGGCTGAGAAATACTGGTCCAGAGAAATGGATTGGGGGGGGGGGGAAGTAAGAGGTAACCATAGCAAATAAATTCAGTGGCCCTCCGTTTAACCAGCTCTGATTTCTTTACAAAAATTAACAACCACTATTTCTTTTGAAAAAGAGGTCGGAAGAGGCTGAGCTTGTGCAATGTGTATGGGTTTGTATATTTGAAAGGATGGAGAAGAAAACAAAAAATAAATACCCCCTCCAAAAAAAACCCCACCCCATGGGCAAGACAAAATTTCACTCTTTCTTCCCGAAAGCTTCAGCAGCTGTTTGCTCCTCCTGGCAAAATCCCTCTTGGCTGTCCTGTCTGCTGAGTCATCCTCCCCTCAATGGCTGACTCATACCTTCCAGCACTGCAAAATGCTGAGTCATGCCACCACTCTCCCCTCCTCCCTTCTGGGGTGTGAGGCTCCCTCACACCCCAGAAAAACCCCAGCGCCCACATTTCATCTGGCCTCCGCTTTCTGTTTCCTGCCTCTGTTTGAAGGAGGAGAGAAGAGGGGAAGGAAGGAAGAAGCAAAAGGAGGGGAAGAGGAGGAGAAGGAAAAAGGGAGGAGGAGGGGAATAGGAGAAAAAAAGGAAGAGGAGGACGAGGAGATAAGTAAGATGGAGGAGGAGAAAGGGGAAGGGGAGAAGAGGAAGAAAAGGGGGATGGAGAAGGAGGAAGAGAAGAGGAGGAGGATGGGAGGGAGGGATAAGGAAAAAGAAGGAATGAGAAGAGGAGAAGTGAAAGAGGAGGAGGACTAGAAAAGAGGAGGAGAGGGAGAGAGGGAGAAGGAAAAAGAAGACTGGAGGAGCAGAGGAAGAGGAAAAGAAGGGAGGTGGAGGAAGAAGAGGAGGAGGAGGAGGAGGAGAAAAGACAGAGGAAATGGAGGATGGGAGGGAGAAGGAAAAGGAGTTAATCCTCTCTCATTGGTAACTTCATTCCTGTTGGATTATTGCAGATTTAGCCAAGGTGATTTGCAAAAATCGTAATAATCAAAAATATGGAAGACTCTAATCCCCAAGATCTCTTCTGCAGCCCAACCAGGAATTTTCTGATTTAAGCCAAAGGTTTAAGTCTTTTTGGGACTGTATAGGTTGTCCTCGACTTACATCCACAATTGGGGACCAGAATTTCCATTGCTAAGGAAAGTGGTTAATTGAGTCAAGCCTGATTTTATGACCCTTTTTTTTTCTACAGTTGTTATATGAATCACTGCTATATGAATGTTAAGCGAATCATGCGGCCGTGAGCAAATCCAGCTTCTCCCATTGACTTTGCTTGTCAGCAGCCCCTTGGAATAGTTGCAAAGGGTGATCTCATGACCCCAGAATGCGGCAACTACAAATAGTCCTCGATTTACGACCATAATTGAGCTCAAAATTTATGTTGTGAAGCGAGACATTTATCAAGTGAGTTTTGCCCCCTTTTACGACTTTTCTTGCCACATTTGTTAAGTGAATCACTGCAATTGTTAAGCTGTTAAGTAAATTCAGCTTTCCCATTGACTTTGCTCGTCAGGAGGTCGCAAAAGGGGATCATGTGACCCCGGGACACTGCAACGGTCATAAATGTGAGTCAGTTGTCAACCATCTGAATATAAATGGAGCCAAGGTGGTGCAGTGGTTAGGGTGCAGTACTGCAGCTACTTGAGCTGACTGCTAGTTCAGCAGATCAAATCTCACCGGCTCAAGGTTGACTCAGCCTTCCATCCTTCCGAGGTGGGTAAAATGAGGACCCAGATTGTTGGGGGCAATAGGCTATTTAGTATATTGTCTTTGGTGTAAGCCACCCAGAATCCTCGGAGAGTGGGCGGCATAGAAATATGAATAAATAAATAAATAATAAATCATGGGAAACGGTCATCAGTGTGAAAAATGGTCGTAAGTGACTTTTTTCAGTGCCACTGTAACTTTGAACAGTCGCTAAGCAAACCGTTGTAAGTCGAGGACTACCTGTATTGTAAAGACGTGCCAGATGGCAAGGGCCCAAATTTTGATAACATGACTGTGGAGATGCTGCAACAGTCTTAAGTGTGAGGACGGGTCTTTTTCCACTGCCGCTGTAACTTCGAACGGTCTCTAAGCGAATGGTCGTAAGTCGAGGACGGCCAGTAGTTTGGAATTAACACCTCCCACGGAGCGCACCTGTGGATCCTGAGCTTTGAGTGACATAAGCAAATATCCTAGAGAGTTCTTACCAACATGGATTTCTTGTTATGGTAAGGCTGAATGATGGGCAGTCCCAGCGGCGTCACCCACTCCACCGTCTGGCCGGTCTTGGAAATCAGCCAGGCACTTTCGGTCAGCCAGTTCTGCAAGACCAAAAGAGATGGTGAACCAGATGGTTTGAAGCAGAGGGTGGGGTGGAGTGGAAACAGCTTAGGAAAGGAACCAAGAGCTGCGGTGGCGCAGTGGTTAGAGTGCAGTACTGCCGGCTGCTTCTGCTGCCTGCCGGCTGCCTGCAATTGGGCAGTTCGAATCTCACCAGGCTCCAGGTTGGCTCAGCCTTCCGTCCTTCCGAGATGGGTAAAATGAGGACCCAGATTGTTGGGGGCAAGAGGCTGACTCTGTAAACTGCTTAGAGATGGCTATAAAACACTGTAAAGCCGTATATACCGTAGTTTTCGGAGTATAAGACGCACCGGAATATAAGACGCACCTACCATTTTTGGTGAGGAAACAAAGAAAAAGAAATCTCCCTCTGCCTATGTCTCTGAGCAATTTTGCCTCCTTGCAGCAAACAGCCTGCTTTACTTTCAGTTTCGTTTTCAGCATAGCTTAATTAGCACAAGGGGGAAAAAAATCTGCTCCAGCAATTTTCTTGCCTGCAGCAGAGCTCTGCACAAAACAGCTGAGAGCAAATCAGCTGAGAGTCGGGAGGCAGATACAATCAACTTGTACTAATTAGGCTGTGCTGAAGCTGAAAGGAACTGTTTTTTCTTGCTGTTTGCTTGCAAGGAGGTAACTGCTGCAAGGCAGAAGCCAAAGGCCAGTGGGTAGGCGGAGCTACATTCGGTGTATAAGACGCACCTAAATTTTCACCCCCTTTTAGGGGGAAAAAAGGTGTGTCTTTATACTCTGAAAAATACGGTAAGTCTAAATGCTATTGCTATATTCGGAATTTCGGGAGGATGAGAGGCAAGAAGGTTTCCACAATGCGGTCTCTGCCTCTTCAGAGATGCCTACAGCTTTGAATTCCCCCACCAGCACCCTGTTAGCTATGTGAGTTAAGAAATCCAGGAACTGTACCCCGAACGTGAGTTATTATAACACATTAAGAGCCACTTTGATCCGGTGGCTAAATAGCACCAGGATAGAATAGCAATACCAATAGCACTTAAGACTTATATACTGCTTCACAGTGGTTTACGGCCTTCTCTAAGTGGTTTACAGAATTACCATCTTGCCCCCAGTAATCTGGGTCCTCATTTTACCGACCTCGGAAGGATGGAAGGCTGAGTCAACCTTGAGTGGGTGAGAATTGAACTGCCAAACTGCTGGCAGCCAGCACTCTAACCACTGGGCCACCACGACTCAACAAAGTGGGAGATGGTGAATTACAGTCCTGCCTTATGCACAAAAGACGACTGTGTGACTTTGTGCTAATCACCAGGAGATGGCGAGTTCTAGTCCTGCCTTAGGAATGAGAGCAGGCTTGGTGACTTTGGGCCAATCACCAGGAGACAGTGAATTCTAGTCCTTCCTTAGGAATGAGAGCAGGCTTGGTGACTTTGGGCCAATCACCAGGAGACAGTGAATTCTAGTCCTTCCTTAGGAATGAGAGCAGGCTTGGTGACTTCGGGCCAATCACCAGGAGACAGTGAATTCTAGTCCTTCCTTAGGAATGAGAGCAGGCTTGGTGACTTTGGGCCAATCACCAGGAGACGGTGAGTTCTAGTCCTTCCTTAGGAATGAGAGCAGGCTTGGTGACTTTGGGCCAATCACCAGGAGACGGTGAGTTCTAGTCCTGCCTTAGGAATGAGAGCAGGCTTGGTGACTTTGGGCCAATCACCAGGAGACGATGAATTCTAGTCCTTCCTTAGGAATGAGAGCAGGCTTGGTGACTTTGGGCCAATCACCAGGAGACAGTGAATTCTAGTCCTTCCTTAGGAATGAGAGCAGGCTTGGTGACTTTGGGCCAATCACCAGGAGATGGCGAGTTCTAGTCCTGCCTTAGGAATGAGCAGGCTTGGTGACTTTGGGCCAATCACCAGGAGACAGTGAATTCTAGTCCTTCCTTAGGAATGAGAACAGGCTCGGTGGATATGAAAGCCAACTGGGTGATTTTGGTCCAGTCACTCTCTGCCAGCCTAATCTACCTCACAGGGTTGTTGTGGGGGAAACAGGAGGAGGAAGAAGTATGAGGTATGTTCTTCACCACGAATTATTTATAAACAATAATCAAGGCAGGATTAAAGATCACATAATAATAAATAAACAACTCTACCCAACTGCCTATCCCCCACAAAACATAAATTCTGACTACTGTTATCATCACTTCACTACTGGGGCCCTACAACAAATGCAATCTCTGATCCTCCAAAGTTTGTCTCCCTCTTGCTAGTAGTTTCTGCAAAACCAAAGGATTTTGATTTATTGAAGTACAGGTAGTCCTCGACTTTCAACCACAAATTGAGCTCAAAATTTCAGCTGCTGAGCAAGACGGTTGTTAAGTGAGTTTTGCCCCATTTTGACTTTTCTGGCCAAGGTGGTTAAGGGAATCACCGCAGTTGTTAAGTTAGTAGCACAGTTGTAAAGTAAATCCAGCTTCCCCATTGACTTTTGATTGTCAGACAATCGCAAAAGGGGATCACATGACCCCGGGACACTGCAACTGTCCTACGTACATGCCAGTTGCCAAGCATCCGAATTCTGATCACATGACCACGCGGATGCTGCAACAGTCCCAAGTGTAAAAAACGGCCATGTTATTTTTTTTCCAGTGCCGTTGCAACTTCAAACAATCGCTAAATGAATGGTTATAAGTCGAGGGCTACCTGTAAACCAGCATTAAACTCTTAAATCGTTTTAGCGTGGCGCTTGAACCAGGCCAGAGAGCGTGAGACTAAAAGAAGGAAAAAGGAGCAAGCAAGTTCCTTTAAATTGCAATCATGAGTTTTACCTGAATTTCCCGAGACCCGGAAAACATTTCGGAAAGGCTTTGAAAGACTAGCCGGACGAGATACTTGGAAGCTTGCCAAACATCCTCCTAGAAGCCGAGAAAAAGATTCCATAAGAACTGTAGACAGGCAATGCAATAGCAATAGCACGTAGACTTATATACTTATAGTTATGCTTAGACTTATAGACATATAGACTTACATACAGTGCTTTACAACCCTCTCTAAGCTGTTTACAGAGTCAGTCTATGGCCCCCAACAATCTGGGACCTCGGAAAGATGGAAGGCTGAGTCAACCTTGAGCCGGTCAGGATTGAACTTCTGGTAGTGAGCAGAGCAGGGGTGGGTTCTAAATTTTTTTACTACCGGTTCTATGGGTGTGGCTTATTTTGTGGGCATGGCTTGGGGGGGAGTGTAATGTGACTAAGTGGGAATGGCCAACTTTTTTAAAAAAAAAACTTTTAAAAGCATTTTTTCTACAACCTTTTAGAAGCCTCTGACGATCAGGCAACTCAGCTGGGATCGCCAGAGGCTTTTAAAGGCATTTTTTTTTCCTACAGCCACTTCGGCCGAAGAAGTTGCAGAAAAAAATGCTTTTAAAAGTAAAAAAAAAAAAAAAAAGCCTCTGATGAGGTGGGTGGGGTAAGCAAGCAGCGACCGGACCAGGGACTGGTTCGTGGGCATGGCCAGCCAATGTTATTACCGGTTCTCCGAACTACTATAAATTTTTTACTACCAGTTCTTGCGAACTGGTGCGAACCGGGACCAACCCACCACTGGAGCAGAGTCAGTCTGCAATACTGCATTTTCACCAGTGTGGACCATGGTCCTTCCTTCCTTCCTTCCTTCCTTCCTTCCTTCCTTCCTTCCTTCCTTCCTTCCTTCCTTCCCTCCCTCCCTCCCTCCCTCCCTCCCTCCCTCCCTCCCTAGCACTTAAGACTTATATACCGCTTCACAGTCAGCACATTGCCCCCAACAATCTGGGTTCTCATTTTCCGACCTCGGAAAGATGGAAGGCTGAGTCAATCTTGAGCCGGTCAGGATCGAACTCCTGGCAATGAGCAGAGTCAGTCTGCAATATTGCATTCTATCCACTGTGCCACCACAGCACTCTCAAAACATCGGTTTATCTAATCCAGGGGTAGGGCTGGCTCAGGAATTCTGGGAGTTGAAGTCCACAAGTCACAGAGGGGCCATAATTCCCCAGCTCTGATCTAATCTATTAAAACCAACTGCCCACCAGGCAATTTAAGAACCCCCTCTCCAGACTATCTACTGCAGTGTCCCACAATCTTTTGGGCACCAGGGAACGGTTTTATGGAGAAAGGTTTTTCAGTGGACCGGAGGGGGCATGGTTTTGTTCGCTGTCTGCTTCCCACAGATGGGGCTTCGCTTCTTTGTGTGGCCCAGTTGCTGGCATGCCGCAGACCGCTGCCAATCCATGGATCAGAGATTGGGGACCCCTGATCTACAGAAAAGACAATTGACCTATTCAATTGTCCATTCATCAAAGCAAGCAGATAAAAACTTCAGCGAGAAATTTAAAAAAGAATGGTTCAGAAAGTAAAAAGAATGCATGGCTGTGTTCACATGATATGCTTATAAGAGACGTGGTGGTATAGTGATTAGACTGCAGTATTGCAGGCTGACTCTGCCCACTGGCAAGAGTTCGATTCTGACCAGCTCAACCTTCCATCCTTCCCAGGTCACTAAAATGAGGGAGCGATGTGCTGACTCTGTAAACCGCTTAGAAAGGGCTTTAAAGTGGTATGTAAGTCTAAGTACTACTGATATTGAGTAATGGGTATATAAGCAGTCCTCAACTTAAGGACACGACTGAGAATAGAATTGATGTTGTTAAGCAAGGTGCGTTGTTAAGTGAGTCACACCCAATTTTACCTTTTTTTACTATGGTCGTTAAGCAAATCACCGCAGTTAAATGAATCGTGTGGTCTTTAAGCCAATCCAGTTTTTCTCATTGTCTTTGCTTGCCAGAAGCCGGCTTGGAAAGTCGTAAATGACGATCACGTGACCCCCCCAGATGGTGCAAATAAACTTACTGGGTGCCAAGCAACCAAATTTTGATCACATGACTGTGGGGATACTGTGTGGATTGTTAAGTGTGAGGACTGGCCTGTTTTTCAGTGCCCTTGCAACTCTGAATGGTCACTAAATGAATGGTTGTAAGTCAAGGAGGACCTGAACGCATATTATACTAATAACCTAGCCAATATAACTGACCAGTCAGCTCACTCTGATTAATGGGTTATTGTCATTCCCAAATCACTGGGGAGCTATCTGAGGTCAAAATAATCAACTGTGATCAGCCATATTGGCTTATTGGGCTTAAGAGGAGGAATTAATGATCCCTTCTCCCTTCTGACATAGAGACGTAATCCTAGAAGGCCCTGCAAAAACAAAGCCGCTCTAGGCACCCCTCCTCTCTTCCTTTAGTTGCTGTTGTTTTTTTTTTAAACTTTCTCTACGATTATTACCCAGAGCGGGAGAGGAACCCACTTCACCGCAATCTGTTTGTAGCGGCTGTGATGTAATGTTTTTCTCTGGAAAGTCACCTCTGTTCAAAAATCTGGGTTCTGATGTTGGTTGCAACATTTAGGGTTAAACTTTCACTTTTGAAAACAATGAATTCTGGGAGTTGAAGTCCGCTCATCTTAAATGTTGCTGAGGTTGAGAAAGAGGAGAGGAGCTCCCTGCAGCCCAGGACACTGGGCTTTGTTACTCTTTGTTTCGGGGGGCAGGGGAGAAGAATACTCGCCTTCGGGAAGTTTTCGATCTCCTTGAGCTGTTTTTCTATCTGGAGGCGCCCCCCGTACTGGGTGACTCCGTAGACAACCGTCATTACTGTTTGCTTCACCACCTTCCGAGTAACGTGGCCATCCAGGACCTGAGCAATTCTGAGTCCATTTTCTGCGTCTTTCTTCCGAGATATCTCCACCTACGTTAGGGAAAGCAATGAGGATAAAATGGTAGCAGATGGGAGATGCTTCTAAGCAGGCTCTGAGGACCAGGGATCTTGATTCTTTTTTTTTTTTAATAAAGTTTTTTTTTTTATTTTTCATAAATACATTTACATGTACAGTCATTTCCATTATTTTTCATTCATCTTTTCTTTTAATTTTAATTTTTACTTTTTCGGGGCTGCTCTTTTAATCTTTACCTTTACTTGATTCTTGATTCTTGCGTTGGCTGAAGCAATGCCCGACATGCACAAGGGAGGCTCAATTGTTGTAGCTGGTCCCTTGTTAATAGATGTTTAATATATATCTATATCTATATCTATCTATCTATCTATCTATCTATCTATCTATCTATCTATATGCAAAAAATTAAAATCTCAGGTGTTTTCCCGCGTCATTATAAATAAGTTGGTTAAAATATTTAAAATTTAAATATTTTAACCAATTTATTTATAATGACGCGGGAAAACACCCGAGATTTTGATTTTTTGCATATGCACACCCGCGAAAACTTAAGAAGACATATATATATATATGGGTGTGTCTGGCTGAAGAGGTCCAAGAAGGCCGAAATAGTGCTATCCCAGTCTCCCATAAGTCTCAGAAGAAACAACATAAAATGTCTGACAGGCCTGAAAGCGATGAATAGAGATTTCATCCCACCATGGCCATTTTAACATCTTTCAA